TACTGTCTGCAGGCAGACAGGTCATGAACATTGTGAACAGGGACAACAAACCCAATACAAAGTTAGCTTTCATCTCAAAGAGCCCAGAGCATTAAGGAAGAACTGATGTTTCAAAATAATAACAAGCAAAAATAGAAAATGGTGGAAGTGATCTGTGCAGTGAAACTGCAAGAGCTTCACATCAGTCATCTCTCCGCACAGATGCAGCTAGATCCGCTGAGTATTTCCAACATTTACCCTTTCTGTTTTAGCTGTTGAGCATCTGCAGTATTTCAGTTTTTGTGGAACTGGTGTTTCAATTGAGCAAAGTCTTAATCAGGGTCTAGCATATGTATTACATTCAGTTTTAAGTACTGCATTTCAGGAAGGTTAAAGTGGCCTCAGTGGAGATGCAGCACACACATATTCACCAGAGGGATGCCAGGACTTAAAGAATTAAATTATGCAGACTGATTGTACAAACTTGATTTTCAGAGCCTGAAATTTCAAAGGTGGAGGAAAAATTTAGTTGTGATCTTTAAATTGATGGAAAGATTTGGTAAAGAGGATGAAAAAAGCAATGCTGCTGTTATGGGAGTCTAGAATAAAGTGGGACAATCTTACATAAAGTTTTCCCTCAGAGAGGATTCTGAACTGTTCCTCAAAAATATTGTGGATGCTGAGAAAGTTGAATATGTATGGAGAGATTATTAAATAAAGCAATCAAGAAGTATAGATAAATGATAAAAAGCAGATAACTGGGACAGAGGTATAGATTAGCCATAAACTAACTGAATGGTAGAAAAGGAGTGGGACTTTCGTTATTGCTGGCTGCTGGTTCATGATGACCTAAAGATTTTTTCCAGTATATCAGCCTTTTGGAAAGGTGTTCAGGTGAGACTCAGGGCACAATATCATCTGCATCTCATTACACCAATAACAGGCATGTTCGGCAATCATTCCACTCTAAGTTAAATTCTTGACTTTAGTATGTGTATTAGCTCTGACATAGAGGTCATTTCACCTCCATAATATTAACACTGTGTGTTTTAATTTATCTACTGCCAGGCACTATGGCTCTAGTAAATGCCCTGACATGGTATAGTTAATTGCTGGATGAGTAAACAAATAAAATTAATGGTTTACAATGACCTCTAACTTTCACAGACAAACTTACCTTATTCAGCTCACATATTAATACAGTTACCCTTCTTTTATGCCAACCTTTTGGCTATATCTTGTTCTCTTGAGAAAAGAAAGACAAATTAACAGGACTTCCAATGCTCTTATTCGGCTAACTAAAAGCAAGACTAGCCATGACTGTTTTTTTGTATGAATAATCTGCATTTGCCTGCAGTATTTCATTATTACTGTTGTAGCAATTAACTGTGTTACCAGACATGGAAAAATTTATTTTTCCCTTTGAAAAGTGCTCGGTCAGAGCAGCAATTCAATTTAAATTTGCAGTCAGTTTGAATCATCAGACATTGTCTTTGCAGAGTTACAATCAAATTTATATACTATAAAAGTTTTACGTATTTTTATAATAGAGTCGAGGTAGCTCTAATGAGCTCATCAGGAAAATCATCTCACTTTTTTTTATACTGATCGTAATATCCCAGCCATTGACATCAAGGAAGATTGTTGTGGGTGTTGGAGGTCAGTCATCTCAGCTCTGCAGGAGTTCCTCAGGACAGTATCCTAGGTCTAACCATCTTCAACTGGTTCATCAATGACCTTCCGTCCATCAAGGTCAGAAATAAAGATGTTCACCGATAATTGCACAGAGTTTAGCATCATTCGCAACTCCTCGGATGCTGAAGCAGCCCATGTTCACATGCAGCAGGATTTGGACAATATCAAGGCTTGGGCTGACAAGTGGGAAGTAACGTTCACATCACACAAATACCAGGTAATGACCATCTCCAACAAGAAACACTCTAACCACCACCTCTTGACATTCAAATGATGTTACCATCACTGAACTCCCCGCTATCAACATCCTGGCATTAGCATTGTCCAGAAAATTAACTTAACCCGCCAGATAAATGCATTAACAGTGGCTACAAGAGAAGGTTGGAGGCTAGGAGTACTGCAGCAAGTAACTTTCCACGAGAGTACCCAAAGCCTGTCGACCACCTGCACAAATAACAAGTGTGATGGCATACTCCCTGCTTGCCTGAATGAGTACAGCTCCAACAACATTCAAGAAGCTTGACACCATCCAGGACAAAGCAGCCTGCTCAACTGGCACCACATTCACAAGTATCCACTCCCTCCACTGCTGACATTCAGTAGCAGCAGTGTTTACTATCTACAATACGCACTGTAGAAATTCACCAAAAATCCTCAGATAGCACCTTCCAAACCCACAGCCACTTCCATCTAGAAGGACAAGGACAGCAGAAACATGGGAACACTACCACCTGCAAATCCCCCTCCAAGCCTCTCACATACTTTGTTTGGAAATATATTACCTTTCCTTCAGTGTCATTGGATCAAAATCCTGAAATTCCCTCCCTGAAGGCTCTGTGGGTCATTGTACAGCACATGGACTGTTCAAGAAGGCAGCGCACCAGCACCACCTCAACTGTAGCTAGGAACGAGCAATAAATGTTCAGGGATGTGTAAATGCAAGCCAGCCAGTGATGCCCACATCCCATGAGTGAATAATAAAAAAGAAAAGTAATATGGAAGAAGCTTTGCTTATTTTAGTGTGTACTTGAGCTTGGAGCGCTTGATGGTTGGCAGAGACAGCTGCATCAAAAGGAGACTAGTTCCACTGCACATGCCATTGGACAAAAGCCTTATGCCATCAATGGTCTTGACTATACTGAAGAATCTATGTACATTAGAACTGTCAGCAAGTTGCTGGATTTTATCTGCTCTTTCTGCTCATTGCCTGTTCTTGTTTTTGTTGGAGTTTCTGTTGGACGTCGGCCTTCATATGTTTGTCAGCCTGCTTCTTTCCTTAAAGCTTTGATGATGCTTCCAGTTTACGAATGTCATTTGTGTGTGATTCTGTAGCTCCTGGATCTCCTGGTCATTCCGCATCTCAGAGCTCGACAATCTCCAACCAGTTAGACAAATACTTTTTAATTGCTCCTGCCAAAATGGACAATTTCACAATTTACCACGTTATACTCCTCTTGCCACAGCTTTCTCCAGTCACTTAAAGTATCAGTATCTTTTTGTAACCTCCTCGTGTCCTCTTACAACTTACTTTCCAACCTATCTTTGTGTCATCAGGAAATTTGGCAACCGAACCTTTAGTCCTTTCATCTAAGTCATCCATATAAATTCTAAACTGTTGAGATCCCAACATTGACCCTAACCATAAACCAACCCTATCACTTATTACATCTTATCAACAAGAAAAGAAGACCCATCTCCATCAACTCTTTGCTTTCTGTTAACTAGCCAATCATCTATCCATGCTGTATTTTACCCCCTACATTATGAGCTTTCATTTTCAGCAATAACCATTGATGTGGCACCTTGTCAAATGTCAACACGAAATCTAAGTACAATATATCCACCGGTTCCCCTTTATCCACAGTGTGTGTCGAAATCTCCAACAGATTGGTCAAAAATGATTTTGCTTTCACAGAGCCATGTTGAGTCTGCCTGATTACCTTGAATTAATTCAAGTGACCTGCTATAACTTCTTTAACAATAGCTTCTAACATTTTCCCCATTACAGATATTAAGCTAACTGGCCTGTCATTCCTGCTTTCTGTCTCCTTCATTTCTTAAAATAAAGGAGTTATATTTGCTCCCTTCCAATCTAATGGGACTGAGCTCAAGTCGAAGGAGGTTTCCAAAACTCTTTTAACGCTTCTATCAGGTGTCCTTCTGAAATTTGACAGTCTGCAGACTGCCACCCTCCTTCACATTGCTGTACAATAACATGCAAGCCAGGATCCTCACCAACTGATCCGCTACAGATTGATAAGCATTGCAAGCTAGGATTGAGCAAGGCTGTGTCATCGCTTCAATGTCTTTTTCCATCTTCCTCACCACAAAACTCCAATCGTTCTACATGAAATTTCCTGCTGGAGTGGAGCTTCTATACAGGATATGCAGGAAGCAGTTGAAACTGTGTCACCCCCATTCCTGAACCAGGAGCACCCTAATTCTGCTATCAAGCTACAGCATGCAGACGACTCTTACATGTGTACGTGCTCAAAGGCTAAGCTCCACACCATGATGCATGCGTTCACGGAGGTGTTTGGGAGGATGGGACTTGCTAACATCCAGAAGACAGAAATCCCCTACCAGCCTGCTCCTGCCAAGTATCACTGTCCCTCAACTATCAAGACTCATGATGAGCAACTGGAAAACATGAATCAATTTTGATACCTTGGGAGCCTTTTCAGTGAAGGCAGACATCATCAAACCTGGTGGAGGCCAAGTGAAAATGACAGAAGGAATCTGTAAAGACCTGAGCATCCCACCCACCTCAAAAAGAACCACGTATCCCACCTTGTGACAGGTTGTGTGCATCCAATATTGGACTGTTAGTCACCTCAGCACTGATAGTAACAGAGTCATAAAGTCATACATCACAGAAACAGACCCTTCCGTCCATCTAGTCCATGTTCCCAAACTAAACTGGTTCTACCTGCCTGCATTTGGCCCGTATCCCTCCAAGCACTTATTCATGTACTTATCCAAATGGCTTTTAAACATTGTAACTATATTTCTGGTGGGGAAGAAAGTTTCCTAAGAGGTTGATGCTTTCATAAAATGCAAATTGTGGAAAGGTGTTCGCACAGCCTTGTATTCCCCACCTTAGTCAATACAAAACTCTGATTCATCTTGTATAGTTCTAACTTTACAACCATAGATTAAGGTGGACAAGATGAAAAACTTCACATTGTTTAATTATATATTAATAATACCACTGTTAAACATATAACACTTCACATATCTTGGGATCTGTTTAAACACAAGGAGCCCATTTTGTATGAGTGGAAATGTTCCTTCAGTAAATAACAAAGATATTTTCCTTTTCACAGTCCTGTGCGCCTGGATACAGACGAGTAAATGGCACCCTCTATGGAGGAATCTGTGTACAGTGTACTTGTTATGGCCATTCTAACTATTGTGATGACATTACTGGAGAATGTTTGGTAAGTATTAATTAATGGAATGCAGTCATCCAGCTGGGATGTGCGAATGTTTTATTTACAGCAAATCCAGAGTATCCATGCCAGCGTACTATTTGGAAATTTTTTTTTAATTTTGAAATCCAGCAGCAGCACACACATTCCCCATCTCTGTTAGTAACATCGATTGCACCATCTGTTTCTCATAGTATTTGTTGTTACAGTTAGTGAATGCCTCATGTTACAAAAACCTGAATGGAAAATTTCAGCTTTACAGTGTAATAATATTTTAATATTATTTCCCTTGTTGAAGTACAAAATCTGTGCTTTCAGCTCGGAGTACCATATTGAATGCAGCCGAATAATTATAACTGTGGACCGACTTTGTTCTCTTTTGTTCAGGATTTGCTGTAAATAAGGTCTTTGGTTTAGTGCATGTATTTAATGTTTCATAATGAGTATCACAATCAATAATCATTGGTTAGTACAGAACCTGAGTATTACTGAAAAAGACACATTTTGTCAAAGTGTTTTGACTTGCAATGTAGGAGCAGAAGTAGGCCATTTGACCCATTCAGTCTTTCCACCATTCAATGGGACTACAGCTGAATTGATAATCCTCAACTCCACTTTCCTGCTCAATCCACATAATCATGGACTCCCTTTGTAATTAAAAATCAGCCTACCTCAGCCTTGAATTTCAAATCGGTCAACACAACCTTCCTACCACTTCTCTGGAAGGGTGAAAATTACCAAATTAGTTTGACCAACTTGGATCTTGGCCGTATGTGAGTCATTATGTATCCTTTCTTCCTGCAAATAAAAAAAAACACATGGTACTGAATCAGATGCAGAAAAGTCAGTTTCCAAAAGGAGAAGGAAATCCCAAAGTTTTCTACAAGCGCATCAATTGTTAAAGGAGAAATTAAGCCGATTAGAGAACCAAGAAGAATGCTTACACTTACAGGCAAGAGATGTGACTGAAGAGTTAAATGAATAATTTGCATTGGACTTCACCACAAGGCAGATGCTGCCCAGATCTTGGTGATGGTGGGAGAAGCTCTGTCACTAGAAATGTTTAAAATTGATGAGGAGGTGGTATTGGATAAGCTGTCATGACCTAAAGTTGATAAGGAACCTGGTCTGGATAAAATGCATTCAAACATATTGAAGGAAGTGAGAATAGAAATTGTAGTAGCACTGGCAATAATCTTTTGGTATTCACCCCATCCCCACACCTCACCTTTCAACACACACACACGCTACCTTGTGCACTTGGCGAAGACATTAGACAATTGCACACTTGACACCTTAGGTCTAATCTGTGAATTGGTTACATGCTCACCCAGACAAATTGTAAAAGGTCATTGAGCTTTATGCAACAAGTCAGGCATGTCCTGCGGACATTTCCACAGTTGGCCACTATCGCTGCAACCTCTGTCCAGGCTGCTTTGGTCTGACTGGGAGGTCTCCTCTTCCTTTATGCAGACATGAGGACTTTCCATCAAAAATCCAAACCCGAGAAGAGGACTTCAGGGGCTCATCATCAAACCATGGGGCAGTCTTTTTGGTCTGGGATTCACAATGATTGGTCCTCCATGTCCTCCTCCACATGGTAGCCTGATGGTCTCTGTGGAGAGACGAAGAAAGTCAAAGGGTATAATTGGAGTCTTTTCCTAAGTACTGATATTCATGGTGGGACTGGGCCAGGGGTGCTCAAATGTTCTTTTCTCCCTGCCAAGGGTCCAGTATAGTACATTGTAGGCACAATAGTCACTAGAATTTAAAACAAACTCCAGTAGTTCAATGGATTTGTCAGTCTTCTTGTTCCAAATCCCTGCCTCCTGACCTTGAAAGTGGAGCAGGTAGACAGGATAGTGAAGAAGGCGTTTGGTATGCTTGCCTGTATTGGTCAGTGCATTGAGTATAGGAGTTGGGAAGTCATGTTGTGGCTGTACAGGTCATTGGTTAGGTCATTTTTGGAATACTGCATTAAATTCTGGTCTCCCTGCTGTAGGAAGGATGTTGTGAAACTTGAAAGGGTTCAGAAAAGATTTACAAGGGTGTTGCGGGGTTGCAGGATTTGCACTATAAGGAGAGGCTGGATAGGCCGGGGCTGTTTTCCCTGGAGGGTCGGCGGATGAGGGGTGACCTTATAGAAGTTTATAAAATTATGAGGGACATAGATAGGATGAATAGTCAAGGTCTTTTTCCCAAGGTGCGGGAGTCCAAAAGTAGAGAGCGTAGGTTTAAGGTGAGAGGGGAAAGATATAAAAGGGACCTAAGAAGCAACATCTTCATGCAGAGGGTGGTTCATGTATGGAATGAACTGCAGGAGGAGGTAGTGGAGGCTGGTACAACTACAACATTTAAAAGTAATCTGGATGGGTCTATGAATAGGAAGGGTTTAGAGGGACATGGGCCAAATATAGGCAAATGAGACTAGAGTAATGTAGAATATCTAGTCAGCATGAATGAGGTGGACCGAAGGGTCTGTTCCTTTGCTGTACATCTCTATGAGTCTATGACACTACTTGCAGCATAGCTATCACAAACACATGTTTGGGTGGTTGTGACTGACATATGTTTCATAAACTGATCCCTCCCTCCCTGGACATCCTGCCCTGGAACTCCAATAGCTTGTGCTGTCTGCCTTTCCCTTAACTGTTTGATTGGCTTTTAATTAGCTGATGGACCCTTCATTCAGTCCCTTTAAAAGATGTGAGTTGCAGATGACAAACCTTACACTTCTGGATCAAACTCCCATCTTCCGATTTGAAAATGATTATATATTTTAGTTTTTTCGGTTTGAATTTAAAATGGAAAATTCCATTGTGATTTCTTGGAATTTTGTGTATACATTTGCAGAGGACAAACAATCATTCCTGATGACTGATCTCGTTAGGTTGCCTTCGATTTCTTGATATAGATTCTGCAACCCAATACTTTTATAGTCTCATGGGCTGAGATGGTACATTTGGGAATGGGGGCAAGGTAAAAATTAGGCACCATATGCATTGGTCATCCAGACCCACGCATTGCAAATCTACTGGTTGCATTGAGTGGTCAGATCATCTGCAGGCCATTGAGGCCGTTGGCCACTGAAGGGCCTCCTACTGCCAATGAAATTTTACCAATGGTATCAGGAGACTGGCATCAAGTCTGTGCGGACCCTGTGATTTGCCACTGGTTTTGGCTCCAAAGCAGCTCACCTTCCTGCAGGTCCCTGTGAATTTGATTTGTCGTTATAGCACTGAAGGATGACATTCAGCCTGTGGAGTCCTTGGCTGGTTAATACCCTCTCTCAAAGCCTGTTTGGGCCCCATCGGTTGGTGGGGGAGGATAGCATTTAGTTTCATGGGACAGTGACATTTGGGACCCCTCCTCCTCCTTGCTTCTGCCCATCTAAGTCTGGGATTCGAAGGTATAATATTCACGTTAGAGCCTGAATCTCTGGGTGCTTGTATTTAGTTGCAGATGGGCATGCTAGAAGCCTGAACCAAACACTGTCATGCATACTTCCAGAAATTCAGAAGCGACAAAGAGACTCAGTGCCACTGCTGTGGATAAAGGGGAACCGGTGGATGTATTGTACTTGGATTTCTAAAAAGCATTTAGTAAGGTTATTGAGGAAAATAAAAGCTCATGGTGTAGGTGGTAACATATTGGCATGAGTGGAAGATTGGCTGGCCAGCAGAATGCAGAGAGTAGGAGTAAATGGATCTCTTTGAAGCTGACAGGATGTCACAAGTGGTGGGTCGCAGGGGTCAGTGCTAGGGTCTGAACTCTTTACAATCTAAGTAAATGATTTAGAAGGGATTGGAGATGTGGAGCTAAGTTTGCTGATTACACAAAGATAGGTAGGAAAGTGAGTTGTGAAGAGGACGTAAAGAAGAGCCCACAAAGGGATGTGGATAGATTAAGTGGATGAACAAATATCTGGCAAATTGAGTACAATGTGGGAAAATGTGAAATTGTCCATTTTGGCAGCAAGCGTGAAAAAGAAGCATATTATCTGACATAAATGCTGAGAGGTTCCAGCGGTCTGAGATGAAGAGATCCTAGTACATGAATTGCAGGAGGTTGGTTAGTGTGCAAGTAATCAAGAAAGCTAAAAGAATAGAGATCGCAAGAACTGCAGATGCTGGAGTCAGATATAACACAGTGTGGAGCTGGAGGAACACAGCAGGCCAGGAAGGATCAGAGGAGCAGGAAAATTGACATTTTGGGTCGGGACCTTTCTTCAGAAATGGGGAGGGGGAATGGAGCTGGGTAATAAATAGAGAGAGGAGGAGTGGGGCTGGGGAAGGGAGATGGGATGGTGATAGGTGAATACAGGTAGGGGGTAGTGGGGATTGGTCAGTAGGATGGGTGAGGCGGATAGGTGGGAGAGAAGATGGACAAGTTGTGTCAGGTGAAGGAGGCGGGGATGAGAGGAAAGGTTGGACGTGGGATGAGGCCGGGGGTGGGGAGATTTTAAAACTGGTGAATTCCATGTTTAGGCCGTTGGGCTATAGGCTCCCGAGGTGGAATATGAGGTGCTGCTCCTCCAGTTTGCGGGTGGTGTCATTGTGACACTGGAGGAGGCCCAGGATGGACATGTCACCCAGGGAATATCCTGTTTTTCTGTGAGAGGAACCAAATGCAAGAGTGGGGAAGTTATACTTCAGTTATACAGTGTGTTGGTCAGACCAAACCTGGAGTACTGTGTACAGTAGTGGACACCGTACATGCAGAAGGATGTTAATGCATGGGAGCAGTTTGGAGGAGATTTACTGAACTAATACAAATGGAATTGGACACTGCCTTATGAGGAAAGGCTAGACAGTTAGCATAGAAAGGTTGGCCTGTAACCTCTGAAGCTTAGAAGAGTCAGTGGTGACTTCCTTGAAACATATAAGATCCTGAGGGGACTGGACTAGGTGGACTTGGAAAGATGCTTTCTCTTGTGGGAGGACCTAGAACCATGGGCCATATTTTAAAAATAAGGGAATGCCCATAAGGATGAGAACATTTTTTTTAAATCTTGGAGAGTTCAGAGTCTTTTTAATTCCCTTCCTCAAAAGGCAATGGATGTAGAATATCTTAAGGCAGAAGTAGATAAATTCCTGATGAATATGAGATGAAAGATTGTTAGGGAGATGTAATAATGTATATTTGAGGTCAAAATCAGATCAGCCATAATCTTATTGAATAGCAGAACAGCCTAACAGAAAAGTGGGCTGAGTGGCATACTCTTGGCCCTTGGTCATATGTTCATTTGTATGTTCCAGGAACCTGCTTGAACCTTCATTGTAGTGGGACGATTTATGTTTGAACCATGAGCATTGGCATGCTATCCAAATCTATTTTCACATGTATACAGTTCCAGTTGGGATCCAAAAAGGAATATAAACTTCGGTCACACTTCCTCTCCCTAATCAAACAACTCAGAAGGTGTGGTGTCTTTGGCCCAAAGTGACTGAGATTAGCAAAGTCAGTAGATGTGCTTATATTTTCACTGTGCTATTGTTGGAATCACATAAAGTTGTTTTGCCAGACTTGAAGATTAATAGTGTAACAAAATAATACATTGAAATTACAGGAAGACCATGGCATAATCTGTAATGTTTTAAACAATATTATTCAATTTTACATTTGATTTCATGCCCACAAACCAAATAGAATATGTTTAAATCACTTGTCTGATCAAATAAGCTGGTATGAATATTTTTTGTATATAGCTAAATCATGCAATAATTTATTATTCAGTGTAAGCAATGTTTGTCAGGGATATTCTTAATCTCTAATGCACGGACATCAGATCCATAACGATGAGGGTGAACTTGCTTTAAAACATTTTTTTTCTTTTATTCTGAACACTTCTGTTATCTGCTAATTGTATGTGAATTTGACAATTCTTGTTAACTCAGAGACAGTTTGGTTTTATCCAGTCTAGCAAGGCGCGAGGTTAAAGTAACTTTAATCATTTTATTATTGAAATAATGCTACATGGATTGCTACCTGTGTTTAACAAAGATGAGAAAAGCTTTTTGTGTGGTGCTTTCTTCATTGTGATAATTAAATTCATGATTTATTATTCTCCCTTGAGGGAATGTTCTATCTTTAAGCCAAGGGTTAATGCTTATTAATAAGGACATTCCATTTAAATGCTATTTTAGAAATGCAACATTTATTGCTAAGCATTGCACATAGTTCATACAAATGTGGATGATTTTGCTAATATTTATGAATCTGCATTTTAGTGCAAAATAGAGTGAAGTATATCCTTACGCCAAATTAAAATATTCAATGTGACACAATTTATGGGAAAGCATGTGTACATTTTGTATATCTGACAAGAAATGTTACCTGCTTCTAATTACACTGCAATTTTGAAGTTACCTGTTAAATACATGTTTCATTGCTTGGAAGTTTCATATGTCCTACCTTCAAGGTGCATAACTGAAGATGGGGAAATGTTTCTTTTTGAAAAATTGCTGTGCTTTCAGTCTAATAATTACAACAGTCTTCTAAAACTTGCAAAAGGTAGTCAGCAGTCCCCACGTGATGGCGTGGCTGAGGATAAGTTGCTCGGCTTTGCCGAGATTCAAATTTCAGCTTTGTTGCGATTTTAGTGGAGGCCTGAATGCCTTTCCAGAAGCAACGTGGAAGTCTCTCACATACTTCCTTGTAGCTGCCTCAGAGTGGAATTGTGTTGATCAGGAAAGGGGTATTGATTGCCCACCGACGGGAGGAAACTAACGAGATAAAGACCCAGACCCTCATCTCAAAACAGTATTTAGCAATATGCTGATTATTTATATCAGGCAACTATTATAACTTTCTGAGAATCAAGGAATGCTCATATTGCATTCTTTCTTTGCTATCTTGCCAGAGGCATTAATATGATTATTTTAAATTGATTGATATTTCCATTAAAATACCATTAAGAGAAATGGATGCAGCTGTGTTAAACATTTGTACAGTAACATTGTTCACATAGCAATCTCCAAGCTCCAAGTTAAATTGTAACAAATTTTATAATGCTGTCTGCTTGTGATCTTTAGTGAAGAATATTTAAGTTCCATATAAAACTAGGGTGTCAGAATTTATTCATTATTCATTGAAAAAATATGTAAATTCAGTAAATGATGTTGTGGAATGACAGTTTGTTCTGTTGGCAACTCTCCCACATATTTTGAAAAGTGAAATCTTTTTTAAAAATAATTAAAGAAAAATAAATAATTTGTCTTTCATTGATAAAGTTCTTGAAAGAAATATTCTTTATTCCAGAATTGTCAACATGATACGACTGGCAGGTTTTGTGATAAATGTCAGCCTGGCTTTTATGGAGATCCAACTCAAGGAACACCCAATGATTGTCACCCTTGCAGTTGCCCATTTCTAATTTCTACAAATAAGTAAGTAAGATATGAATTCATCCATATCTGTAATATTGCATAATGATATACAAGAGATGGAATCTTGTGGAGGTGATGGTGGTTCAACCAGCAGCTGGAAAGCTGGGGTATACTCATGTTGGCATTTCATGGGAAGGGCCACCTCACCTTCCTTCATTCAGACTCCTGACCTGTTGGTTGTTCTGTGGAGCCAGAAATCCCATATGCTGAGAGCTGGTGGTCAGTGAAAGTCTGACAGATCTACTGAATGGAAAGACGATGACTGCTACCAGTTCACTCATCTGAGGCATAAAATTGTTGCTTCATCCCAACCCGGAGGTAAATGATTATAGGAAGTGGGGACCCCATATTGTCACAGGAGGAGGGGAAATTGGCTGGGGTCTTTGGGTCAGGTGCCCACCTCCTTTTCTGACTAGGCTTCCTTTCACCACTGAACCTACCATGGGATAGGCACAAGATCCCATAGCTCTGGTTCTGTCTGGCGACGAGCATCATCGCCAGAATCTGAGTTGTGAAATGAGTGAGCCATCGGTAAACAAACTAAATTCACTTTCTTTCCAAAAACAAAATACAGTGGATACTGAAAATCTGTATTGAAAACAAGAAATGCTAGAAACATTTAATCATTCTTGTAGCATTTGTGGAGGCAAAAACAGAAGTTAATGTTTCAGGTACTGTTTTTATCAGAGCCAATTTGACCGGAAGTGTAATGTCTCACTTCCGCAGATGCTGTCTGACCTATTGAGCTTTCAGCATTTCCAATTTTCAATTCAATTTTCCAGTAATGGTGTATCTTACTTTGTATTAGAGTTTCAGTCATAGTCAGTTCTATTCAAGAACTTCCCACTTTGAAGCCCTGCTCTTATCTTTGATGGGATTTCCATTTATCTTTTCTGCATTGTTTGCCATCATTGTTTTTAATTCCCCTTCTTTCTCCTACCCCATTTGATATAGAATTTTCACATTGAGAAGCAGCACTGCTTCTGTCATGGTTACCTTGCTGAACATTATAGCTCAACAGGTTAATACAATGAATTTTTTTCATACAAAAACTCCAGTGGTAATAACTTCCAAAAAAACATAATTAAACTTTGTCCATTGAGATAATCTGCTAAAGTAGCACCTAATCTGATCATGTTGAAAATAGAGAAGGGACAAAATTGGGAGAACTATATAACCTGGGTATTACACTGCTCCCTACTGTGTAAATATGGTAACTACATTTTATGGCGACTTTAAAAATTACTTCTCCATGTTGATTAGAATTCCCCGAGGATGGTTGAATGCTTACTTTGCTGCAGCCTAATTTCATTATCTCCTACCCTCAACGTTCTGCCATTCATACTCTCAATCTGACTGCCACAACAGTAATGAACTATTTATGTGTTAAGAAAGTAAGGCAGACTGAATTTTTAAAAAAAATAAATCAAAGTCCAAAAATGTGATGACTCGTGGTCTTACTTTCAACATCTCCTTATTTTTCACCTGAAAATGTACAGCAGTGAACTCTATTCAATAACAACTTCAAAGGAACCTTTTAAAGGATACTTATCCAGAATACTGAACAAATGAACATTGGAATTGGGAGATATTAGGCTACTCGGCCCCTCAAATTGGATTCCCAATGCACCAGCAAAATTTTCGAACTGTGATTGAATAAAGATAGAAATAAAGAGTAAACCACTGCCTTTTATTATTAAACAACATATGGTATAAACACCTCTACTGCTTAAAAGAAACTGGTGAAAACTTTTAGCCTGTGTGAATGGAATCAATGAAACTAAAAATTTGACAGATTTGTTACAGGAAATCAGGGTGCTGCAGGTTTCATTTATACCAAGGTAACAAGATAATAAATTCAATTTAGCATATTGTCTAACTCACTGTGAATCTTGACTTCCCTGCAGACCTTTTGGAATGCACAGAAGATGATCTGTCTTCTGTGAAGTGCTACAAGAGAGTAGAGGCAAATGGCATTATAATTAAAGAACAGCACACAGAAATTATCACTCTCCTACAATTCCAGTTGCACAGGACAAAATCTCATAAGTTTTTGCAGGCCTGATCAATACTTTTTTGGAAAATAAATAATCCTATCAGTTGATTATGCTACAACTTTGTGATTACAGTTGGATTCAATGTTTTTCCAAGACTCTGGAGATGCACACAAGCAGCTGGACATTCCTTCTTTTATATAGTACAGTGTTATACACTACGGAGACTTTCAGGCTGAAATGCCATTGAGATGCTGCCATCCTTTTTCTATACTCAGTGTCAGCCGAAATATCCAATAGTCATTCTAGAAACTGTTAGCTGTTATGAGATCTCCGTTCTATCTTTGGTGCCAGAAGGAAAAAGTAGCCCAAGTCTATTCCACAGGGATGATTTCAGTAAAGTTGAGCTGTTGGTTATGCAGCTAATACATTTTTTTATCTTTTATCTTTTTGTGGCTGCCGAACATGTACAACATAGTTTTAGTCCAACTTGTCACCTGGATTCTAGGGGAGAGATAATATGTGACCAGTGTGCTCCTGGATATGCAGGATCTCGATGTGACAGGTAAGAAATTGTTGATCTTTTGATTTTTATCCCACAAGTACTGGGAACCTTTAATAGATTAACTGGTGAAATACTTACTTGTTTCTTAACTTTCTTCATGAGGTCAGAAGCAACCTTCCATATGGTTCACAAATAATAAATATATCATCATTTCTTGAAACGGTCTATTTAAATAGGCAATAGTCCAAATTCTGTACTTTGTTTTGACCATGTTTTGTAATAGTAGTTATTAGTTTGATGTTGACAGCATTTCATTTCCTAATAGTTTGATACATAATGGCAATTATGTTAATTTCATGAAAATCCAAAAAATGTCCTTGAAGTATTGAAGCATTTCTGTTGGCATCTGGTACATAAATATGCATTTTGTTTGAAAGTAATCAAAATGTAAGTTTATCTTATTCAGGGTTGATTCAGGGTGATTGGGTAGTTGTTGCGGGATCATTGTATTTGTATTCTCATGTAGGATTATATTACATGCAATTAATTTTTACAATACTTCAGTCTGACATGTTAAAAAGATTAACTTCTGATGCCTTCAGATCTCTCTAAAAGTAGGCTTATTTTTTCAACACAAATGTGTTGATGCAGTGATGTGCATCAAAGAAACAGTTCATGGTTTTCTGCTCTTGTTGAAAATTAATAATTTGAAATGTCAGTGCTTTCAGTTCATTTGTTTTTGGTCTTAATAGAAATAAACTGGTGAATCAAAATAGTATACAGCAATTTATTGAAATTCTAGTATTTCTGCGCATATGAATATTATTTCTTGGAAATACAAACGCAGAACATAAGTGATTACAAATTGGAAAGTTCACGCCATATTAGGAGATGATTCATTTAAAGGGTGTGCTTTGATACATTGATGGTCATGTAAAGGAAAACATGTTATATTGGGAGTGTCTGCAAGCTTTATAGTTGAAAAAGGCACCTGTCATTAAGTGTCACTGTAGCAGAGGGCTATTTCTGTCAGACTGCTCACATCACTCTGTGGGGAGCTACAGTAAGTGACATCTGCTGCAATGTAATTTTAGAAGCAAAGGAGCAATCTTGTTACAGAGGAGAGCATTGTGTCAAGGCAGTAACAATAAAAACAAAAGGCGCAGATATGAAATAATCTTAAAAGTAATTGAGTTTTCCATGGTTATTAAAAGTAGGTTATATGAGGAGTGACAAAGTGATTGAAACATGCCAGAAACTATTCATAGCTGAAGCACACTTTGGTCAGTCATTTGATGGTTATAGATAACCTCAATTGAAGATCAGTGTCTGTCCATTCTCATTTTGTTCCAAAATAACAAAATATATTGTTCTTTTCAAAATGCAGACAGATTCTGATATCCTTAATTTTTTTTTGGAAATGAAAGACTTTTTAAAAATGTTGTTGTTCTCAGGATGTGCACACCTACAAATGTTGTTCTCAGGATGTGCATACCTACAAATGTAAATATGCGTTAGGAGCAAGAGTAGGCCATTTGATCCCTCAAGTCTGATGGTATTTAAAAAGATCATGACTGATCTGATTGTAGCCTCAACTTTCCACCTAGCCCCAACAACCTGCCTTTCCTTGCTTATCAAGAATTTATTCACATTGTCACCTAATATAGAAAGTTGATGATTTATAGCAATTTTCTCGTAGTTTATTGAGAAGCAGCAGTTTAGATATGGTACATTAGTTGTTTAAATCAAGAAAGGCAGCAGAACAACCGGAAAGAGATGAGAAAACTTTACTGATCCTAGAGCTGTTCTCTAGAATGGAGGAGCAGAGGCAGCACACTCCCACATTCCAGTGATCCTACATTTTTTTGTGGTGGTCTCTGGTAGTCTTTGGTGTCTTGCTACCAGCAGTCTTTGTTCATCCTGCAGGCGGATATTGGGGTGGGCTGCAAGTCTTCTGGTCTTCACTCAAGGAGATGGTGTAGCTCATCTTCATGGATCTTCTTGCCCGTTCCTGCCCTCTTGTCCCTGCTGTTATAGCTTATTTTGGAGGCTGGCCATCCAGCCAATGCTAATCACCTGTCTAACCCCTCTTGATCAATGGCCATGGGACAGCTACTCATCATGTCAGATGACTGTGGTTCTGATGCCTACCTCCATTCGAAGGTTAATTTTCATTCGTTCAAAGATCAAAACCTTCTTAGTTTTGATACACTGAATTGGTAATGGAGTAGTGTAACACTTGATAAATCTTTGGCACGAGTCAAGACCACAATGGTTCTTGTGACCTTTTCTCTGTTTTCATATAGGGATTTTGTTCCATTAAGAAGGCAAGATACAAATGTGACACAGTTAGATGAGGTCTCATGCTACACACGAGTTAATCAAACATAGAACGCTGAGTTAAAACAGATTTAAGGTTGCCTCCAATTCTCACCAATGTCTGACTTTAAAATGTTCAAAGATTCTGCTTCCACTCCTTGTGAGGAAGAGAGTTTCAAAGACATATGATCCTCTGAGAGAAAAAAAAACTCCTCATCTGTGTTGAAAGTGCATGACCCCTTTTATTTAAACAGAGACCCCAAGTTCAGGATTCTCTCACAAAAATAAACTTCCTTTTCACATCCACCCTTCAAGTTTTATATGTATCCATCAGGCTATCTCTTACTCATTTAGAGCCCAATGGATACATGCCCAGCTTGTTCAACATGTCACTGGCGAGACAAATATTTATTATCCAACCCTAATTGCTTTGGAGAACATGTGATAAGCTGTCTTCTTGAATTATTGTAGTCCATGTGATGCAGATACACCCCCAGTGCTTTAGAAAGTGAGTTCCAGGGTTTTGAGTTATCAGCGGTATAGGCATGACAATATATTTCCAGTCCAGGATGATGTATGACTTGGAGGGTATCTTGCAGATGAAGGTGTTCCCATGCCCTTTTCGTTCAAGGTGCTGGAGGCTACAAAATTGGATGTTGCGCCAATGTGAATTACTGCAGTGCACCTAGTAGGTGGTACACCCTGCCGAAACTGTGCGTCAGTGGTGGTGGGAGTCAATATTTGTAGTGGTAGGTGTGCTGCTAATCAAGCAGAATTTTTGTCCTGGATGGTGTTGATTTTTTTTGAGTATTGTCATTTAGGGCAAAGTGGTGAGCATCCCAGCACACTCCTGTGGTTGCCAGGCTTCGGCATGTCAGGAGGGGAGTTACTTGCTGCTAAAGCCCCAGCCTCTGAGCTGTTCTTGTAGCCACTAGATTTAAATGGTTCCTCCTGTTCCTGGTCATTGATAATCCCTAGGATGTTGATAATGGGCAATTTACTGATGGTAATTCCATTGAAAGTAAAGGTAGATGCTTATATTTTCCGAAACAAAAACAGAAATTGCTGGAGCATCTCAGCAGCTTTGGCAGCATCTGTGGAGAGAAATCTGAGTTAACGTTTTGGGTCCGTTCTGAAGAAGGGTCACTGGATCTGAAACGATAACTCTGATTTCTGTCCACAGTCCTGCTGAGATTTTCCAGCAACTTCTGTTTTTGTTTCAGATTTCCAGTATCCACAGTTCTTACAATTTTTTGGTTAGATTTTCTCTTTATCGTGCTGAAATTGCCTAACTGTTGGTTTGCATGTAACTTGATGACGTGAGGATTGTGATTGCAAGCTCTCCACCACTTCAGAAGCTTAACACCATTGTGGATTGCTCTATCCAGTTGATTAGCACCCAGTTTGAAAGTTGTCCAGATCTTGTTGCATCTGCACATGAACTGTTTTATTATTTCAGTGACTGTGAATGCTGCAGAACATTGTGTAATCATCAGTGAACATTCCCACTCCTGACCTTATGATGGAGGTAAGGTTATTGATGAAGCACCTGGAGATGGATGTATCTAAGGCGTGACCTTGAGATGTTCCTGCAGAGATGACTAACTTCCCACAACCGCAACCATCTTCCTCCATGTCAGGCATGACTCTAACTAATGGAGACTTCCCCTGATTCCCATTGACTCCAGTTTTGCGAGGCTTCCTTCCAGTAGCACTGAATCAAATGCGGCCTTTGTGTCAAAGGGCAATCAACTTCACCTCACCCCTGGACTTCAGCTCTTGCAATTAAAAAAAAACTTGCAGGTAGTGATGTTCTGCCCTTGTTCGTTTAGTTGGGAGAGATAAAAAGTTTGGAACGTGCTATCAAAGAAAGCTCAGTGAGTTGCTACAGTGCATCTTGTAGATGGTACACACTGCAACCACAATATGCTAGTGGTGAAGGAAATGAATGTTTAAGCTGGTCGCTGGGATGTCAATCAACAGGACTGCTCTTTTCTCAATGGTGTTGAGCTTCTTCATGTTGGTATTGTTAGAGCTGCACTCATCCAGGCAAATGCAGAGCTTGCAATCACATTCTCCATTTCATAAGATCATCAGAAAAAGGAGTGAGAGTAGGCCACTTGGCCCATCGGAATATCTGTGTCATTCAATAGATTCGTGGCTGATTTAATGGTGGTGTTAACTCCATTATCCTGCCTGTCTACCATAACGCCTTGACTCATTTGCTGAACAAAACTCTGTCTAACTCAGCTTGAAATGTGTTCAATTCCCAGCTGTCACTGGTCTCTGAGGAAGCCAATAAGTTGTAATTAAGAGAGCTCACTTAAAATTAGATAAATCCCCAAGCACAGATGAGATGTATTCCTGGCTGTTGTGGGAGGCAAGGGAGGAAATTGCAGGAAATTAATTTTCAAATCCTCTATGGTTACAGTAAGTGGCAGTGATGAACAAGGGAATTGTAGGCCAGTGAGTCTAACATTAGTGGCCAGAAACATTTGGAATGTATTATCAAGGACAGAATTAATTTCCACTTGGAGAGGCAAGGTTTAGTCAAGGACAATCAGCACGGCTTTGTCAGGGGTAGATCATATCTGACAAGTTCAGTTGAGTTTTTCAAGGTGGTGACTGTTGTGTGGATAAAGGTGGTGTAGTGGGTGTAACCTACCTGGATTTCATGATGGTTTTAGGTTTTGCATGTGAGGCTAGTCAAGGAGTTAAAAGCTTGTTGGATTCAGGGCAGT